ATCGTATCCTGAGTAAAGGTCTATAAGCGAAATTATAGGCCTTCCAGCACAGGATTCCGACAGCGCGTCTGCATTCGGCAGTCCTCCAGCATCTCGCACRGTCACKRCATTCARTCTYTGCAAATCCTGCACCCACCGCAGCGTCCCGTTAGGCTTAATAAAGCAGAACCACGGGGACGCATAGGGTCCACTTGAATAGTCGGCGACGTGAGTACGTATCTTGCCGTCGAGATAATCCACCACCTTCCTTTCCTTGTCAGGATTGGGATATCGGTCCCCTCTCATGTTCCAAGGCTCGTGTGGCACGGTGCGGATGCGGATCATAGGTATCTTATCTACATCCAGCCGGCCACGCTCCTCGTCACTAAACGCGTAGGCGCGATGCTTCCTCTCCATTAATTCCACCATCAACGTTCGCTCCTGAGGCAGCAGGAAATCAGACTCCCCTATGATCAACTCCTTCTCGTTCCCTTCATTGATACGACATGGCCCTGCTAAAGCACTTTCCCTCATTYGTCGAATCAACCCTCGTTCCCTCTCGTAATATGCTTCCTCGTCCTCTGTGATGAGGACGGGTACCGGGCGGCACTTCTTATCTACCGTCTTGTACCGCCTTTGAGAACCCTGCTTGAGCCGTCCCCTAAAAAAGGCCGACTCACGGATTGTGTTTGCGCTGATGCGGGGTTCCCTTTACTGCCTGGGAGCCGATATACCAGTTTCAACCTTCCTGCCTCAGGGCATTCCAGAACTTGTTCCCTCAAGGCCTGGATGGCATCCTGATCTGCCATCTCATGCGCGGCCACCAGGTCCATGGCCTTCCCAACATCTGACAGGCTGAGGGAAAATACTTCCACCCTCTCTCCTGCTTCGGGCTCTGCCCAGAGCCTCCTGCGCTCCCCTTCCGACTCCTCGATTGTGAATGATCCTAGATTGGGCCGGTTCCTTATACTCCTTGACCCGGAATTCCTGCAAGTAATTATTTCATAATTTCCGCAGGCAGGATCGCATAAGAGGAGGATCAACGTCCCATCATGTTTGTTGAACATGATGGTCTCTGTCCTGCTTACGAATGACCTCCCCAGAAGGATTCCATGGTCCACGTCTGACATTATGAAGAAACATGCCCTGGCCTTCACCCTTCCAACCTCGACGAGCACATTCGAGGTTGTCCCGCAAAACATGGCCTTACAGCTGGCTCCATGCAAAATACCGCAATCAGAACGGTCTATATCCAGCCTGAATCTGATCGCGTCCGCCTCCCGAATAATGTTCATCTCTGCCCCGGTTAGCAAGGGCTTTGCACTTGGAACCCTTCACCATCAAATCCACCGTACCGCAGGCTACGCACTTCCAGTCCATCTTCGTACCTGACTCCGCCCACTCTGCCTCCTGGGGCAGGATCGTACCCAGATGGACATTGGGCACCAGGCGCCGTGATAACCTCCCCTTCAGTTCATCGCGGAGTCGCGGGGCTGACGCTAGGATTTCCTTCAGGGTCATGAGGTCATTATGCCCTTCCAGCAGCCGGTCAATCACCTTCTCTACATCAAATCCCTCTTCCAACCGGACCGCGTATTTCTTCTTTTTGGGCGGTCCGTCATGTATGACCGGTTCGGCCTCTCCCCTGGTCCCCTTTTTCCTTGCCCGCTGCTCCGCTCTCTGATCCTCTTCTCTGCGCAGCCTCTCGTCCTCTTCCTCTTCATCATCGTCGTCCTCTACTTCCACAGCCTCTTTCCTTCTCCCTGGTTCGTGTTTCCCCCTTGGAGGCTCTTGGCTAGTACCGGCCTTGGCTTGATTTCTCGTTCGCGCTGCCTGTGCCAGCCGGGCCTGCGGAGTGAGGGGTCTCCCCCTCATTCCGGGTTGAGGGCACAACCCCACCACATTTACTCCGGGTCGCCCAGGCGCTGACTCCGGGCCGGAGTCATAAAGGAATACTGTGGGAACATTAGACTTCCATCCTTTCACTCCTTCACAGAGGCCTACCAGCTTCTGTTGGTACCTCCCCATCTTATCCAGCAAGTCCTCCATCTTCTAAAATAAGACGGACAGAGGCTCCGTTCTTTCCTCCTCATCCTCGTCATCTGACTCGATGATTATGGCCTCTTCCGTCTCACTTCCTCCTCGCAGCCCTTGAGTCACTTCCTCATCGCTCCCCACTTCTTCCACCCCAAACGGTGGTTTCTCCTTTTCCTGCCATAGCCTGAACATGGCAGGGGGTGGTGGTCCAGCTGCCGCTCTTCGTTGGGCTTCAGCCCTCACTCTTCCAAGCCTTCTGTCAATGACCTCCCCAAACTGATCGTAGATATTCCCATCCATAGTAGAGGAAATCAGTCCACTTCTCTCGTCTTCCCGTCTTATATTACAGAACCTTATAGTGTGGCCCTGCTGGTCACAATGTTGACAGATGGCCGTCCTCCAGTCAAAGCGGAGTCTTCCATACCCCTGACTTCCCTGATCCCCCCGACCTTGATAGCCCTGACCTTGGTACCCTTGGCCTTGACTCCCTTGGCTTTGGTACCCCTGGCCTTGACTCCCTTGGCCTTGGTACCCCTGGCCTTGACTCCCTTGGCCTTGGTACCCCTGGCCTTGGCCATTCCATTGCCTTCCTCTTCCGCCGCCATTCATGCCTCGCCCCTTTCCTCCACCCCTCCCTTCACTGCCTTGATTGCCCTGCCCCTGGTTCCCACCTCCTACAACACTGCCCTGTGAACTGGGATCAGGTGACGGTGGCGGGGCCACAGGTTGGGCTTGGGCCGCGGGGTAGATGGGTGGTGGCATACTCATTTGCGGTCCGGCTACTGGCGGCGTGCTTCCGCATGGCACAATTGCGTTGATCACCGGTCAGGACCACTGTCCATAGAAGGGCGCCCCACCTTGCGAGGGGCCCGTAGTAGATGATGGAACCGCCACATCTAAAGGGGCTGCTGCCTGCGCCTGCGCTTTTCCTGATCCCTGTCCGCCCCGCACCAAATTACGCACTTTGCGCTGGACCTTCGTCAGGTGCTGCGGCACGGGCTCTTCCTTTTTCCCAGAGCTCCTCCTGACCAGCCTCCTCTATCACTGACTCTTTTTCTTTTACTTTAACAGCCGTCACCACCCTCCTTTGCACCACCGGCTCTGTCGCATACCCTAGCTGTGCCAATACGTCTGTAACAATCCTTGTTACTYCYGGGGTCYCAGAAGCGGTCGCATCTCTTTCCTTTCTCTTCTGTCTTTGCAGGCGTACCTGACGTTGTTCCACCTGGTCCAAGCACCCAACTTCCACCCCTCTGTCAATGGTGGCCCAGGTGAGCTTAGTGCTACCTCCTCCATGTCTCGTCAATTCGACGGCCTCCGATGCTGTGAGTAGCCCCAGGAAGATGGCGCACTGTGCTTCCTCCGAAATCCCATGGACCTTCCGCACCCTCTTCTTAAATTCTTGAACAAAGGCCCCTATAGTCGTAAAATCTTCTTTGTTCATCGCCTCAAGGTCCGTGGTAGTCAACAACCCGTCTCCCAGGCGGTATTTCCTCTGCATTCCCTCATTGAACCTCTCCCAGCTACCTTGAGCCGCATCTATGACTTTCTTCACCTCCTGATGGTAGCTGTGGAGGACATACTGAAGGATGCGTTGAAACTTTACAACATCCGGCCGCCCGACCAAAGCTTGTTCCACCCTCTCTAGCCATTCTGAAACTCTCTCCCCACAGAAGTGGAAAGTATCGACCTTTGGGATGTTGTTCGGGTTCCTTTCATGTCGGTCGATGGTCGCGATGAGGTCATCGAGTGTCAGACCCTTCTTGGGAACAACTGATGCGCCGCCAGTCTCAGGCATCATAATAGCCTCTTCTTTTTAAGTCCCCTGGCAAAAGAAAACAAGCACATCCCCTTATTCAACATTATACCTTGACCGATCTATTACATCCGTCCCACCTAACCTTTAGTACTTACTTTACCCAAAGTTAACACGATCTTCCCTCATACTTCCTCTACTTGGGTAGGTAAATTTCCCCACCTACACTTAATCATTCATATATTCTTTCATTACCTTCTCATCACTCTTTTATGCCTTTTCTTATTCAACTCTCATACCCGGATGTCGTTCCACCAGGGACAACGGTAGGCTTTCCGTTATCCCCGGCAACGGCGCCACCTGTCGGGCGCATCGGTCCGGCACCGCACGGGGGCAGCGCGGGACCTTCCGGCCGCGTCACGCAGGAGTTGGTTTTTAGAACCCTTCGTCGCAATATACATGGAGCTTCCACAAGCCGCTCTGGCCGGGTGCGCCAGCCATACCTCTCGCGAGCCCCTACGACAGGATAGGGCCTACGTGAGGCACGACTTACCTACACCTTATGGGAGCTGTCACCTCCCTTCGGTGGGCGTATCCCCGCCAAGCTACCAGTCCACAGTACGAAAACTAATCAGTTGCAATCGCAGAGGTGGACCAGCCGAGAGCGTTTCTCGTTCGCTGTAGCATAGGGGGTACACGCGGTAATACGCCTCTATCAGACCCGCACGCGAATCGGCATCTTGGGGGGGCTGAGGTCCCAAACGCGACTCATCGTCGGTCGACTAGGACGCATCCCACACACCACGCGCACTCCACTTTACGAACACACATACACACAAAACAACATATATACGAAACGACACAATACGAACAACGCGACAACGMTCCTAGCCCCTCGGTAGYCAACCYATAACTTCCYAGTGCGGAAATCRGATAGGCGTCGCGCGCTGAACTTAGTATAAAACCGCGTGGACGYTGGGCATACTCACATCGACTTGCAATGCAGACATACACAAGCAGTCGCAACGATGGCGTACTATGTAGTGCCCATAATCAAGCGGTCCCTCATGGATCCGAGTACCGCTTATGACACTCAAGTGTCAGACTTGAAGTGTCGTGAGGGCCTAACCCTTCAGAACATTGCACAGCTGAAGGAAAAATCGTGCAGCCACCGCTGCACCTTAGGCTCTCGACCTGAGTGTCTCGGTAGGTAAATCAAATAGGCTCTTCGTGAGGGAAAACCCCTCCCCTGCAGAGCCTAGGGTTTGGAATGTCCTCGACAAGGACCTCGAATCCCGGCCCAGGACCAAACGTCCGACTAAGAAAATCATCAAAAAACAAGAGACAAGAATAAAAGGAGAGACCTCCCCTAAGCCCCACAGAATCAGCTTCTGAGTGGGGCTCTAATGTGGGGGCTCTTCAACCCATACAAACATTCATCCCAAGTATACCCATGTATACATATATAAGGGTTAAATATGTGACGATCACTTCTCATAGTTGCACTGGGGTCTCTCACAATAATACGTATACTTGTGATCGTAGGCAACAAAATCCAGAATCTGATTCACAGCACATACATGCCATCACATCAACGAACCAAATCAACAGCCCACACACTACACGGAGTCAACCCCAACCACCTTCGACACTCATACCCCTCGCTTTAGCAATGCAAGCCCCAAACCTCCTGTCCAACCAACCTTAATTAAATACTCAGCACCTTTGTTAAATGGTCATTCAATAAAAGTCCGGGTGAAAACCTTAATAAAACAATGAAGATCACCAAGGCTAAAGCCTTTTAGGTTGAGTGTGGAGGGAGAGTTGAAATTGAGTCGTAAACCGAGGAATCGGCAACCGACCTGTTATTAGTGACAACAGTAAGTGATCCTCAAGGGATCAAGCTGGATCTAGCTCTGAACTTGGATCAAATGATCAAAAGGACCTGTAACACACGACAGACCAATCCCCAAGCTAAGATCATAAGTGTATGGAGAATACAACTCCATAATACATCCTCACTCAAAACTTCCTTATTAGCTAAATCTAAGTTTATTTTTAAGTCAGTGCTTAAGCAGAAGGTAAACCAACTGCAAAATCTTCCCTATTCTAGGTGGATCGCCTGAATCACCTATCAAAATATAATCTATCTCCTCCAAACTAAAAAAATTTTGGCATCGCTTCCCGTAGGAAAAATATTTTTTCATAATTTATATAAGTCGGGATATGAGAGCAGAAATAATCTCTAACTCTGGAAAGTCAAATTTTGTCTAACTCTCTGAATTAGTAGAAATTTGGGCAGCACTCCCTTTAGAAAGGGAGACTTCCCAGATTTATACTAAGTTAGATACGAACTCGAACAATAGCTTGAGCTCAACTTTTTAGACTGAATTTAAGTAACTCCTTAATTTTGCAGAAATTTCGGCAGCACTCTCTCTAGAAAAGTGTTATCCCAAACTTTATACAAAGCGAGGTCTAGAATTTGAGAATAACTTTGACTTCTCAAAAGTCCAATTTTGTCCAACTCCCTGAATTAGTAAAAATTTGGGCATCATTCCCTTTAGGAAAGGAGACTTTCCATATTTATACTAATCCATATATGAAAAAGACAAGTTGAACTCTGACAAGTCAAAAGTTGACTTACTTCTGGGATTTGTAGAAATTTCGGCAGCGCTTCTCGTAAGAAAAGTAGCTCGCCCAGATTTATACAAAGCCAAGTATAAGAAAAAATCTAAGAAAATGCAGGAATTGACCTAAGTAAAAAAACGTTATTACAGAAAGTACAGGAATCGACACTAACTCCTATGGCTCTAGCACGTGGCGAGCAACTACAGCAACTACCTATAATAATGAAACCCAAASAAACTAGTCATCCCATCCAGTCACATGCAAACCAAACCACGAATGTAAGTACTCTCACCCTCCCAAGTTCATTCCATATAAATAGTTCGTGAATCTTCAAGTTCTGAATCCTTATACCCATCTTACATAAGACATAGAGCTGGACCATTCGCCATGGAAACAATGCCCAACTTGTCTTTATGATATACACGAACAGGTTGCACAACTACGTTTTTCTTCTTTTGGCCAGATGACTAAGCCATTCGCTATGGAAACAATGCCTAGTCGCCCTGAGCTGTTTAATATCCAAAAATTTTAATATTTCTCTGACTTTAATAAAAAAAAAGACAAATATGGGCAGGGGATTGAACCATTCACAGTAGAAACGATGTTCAGCTTGCCCCAAACTATTTCCATTTATACTCTGCATTTTCTCTTCTCTCTTCTTAATGATATGGCTTAACGCTGGACCATTCACAGTAGAAACAATGCCCAACTGCCAGTTCACATGCAAATATACATAAAGTTCTTTCCTTTATACTTAGTTTAATTTACGTGCGTGGTTTTCAGGCTAAGCCATTCACCATGGAAACAATGCTTAGCCTTAGACCAAAAATCCTCCCTCAAAATAAAACAAGAATTTAAATCCTTTCAATCAGGCAAAAACCCTCAGAGTTAACTAGAGTAGCCAGACCATTCACAGTAGAAACAATGTCTGGTTCCCTAGAAAACAATAAAATAAACATAGCAACCAGACCATTCACAATAGAAACAATGCCTGGTCCTTCAGAAAACAGTCAAATAAACATAGCCCTAAGCCATTCACAGTAAAAACAATGCTCAGGCTTTGGTTGACCCTTTCAAACGCATACAAAACTGCCTTCCTCCCACCTTCCCCCAATTTATCCCTTTGTCTGCTTTCAGTCAGAATAAAGAAAAAAAATTTAGGCTTCACTCTCACACGTTCCTTCCATTCAATCTGATTAGGTCCTGAAGAGAAAGCAAAAACCATAGGGACAACACATGCATACCGCAATTATACTACAGGGAGATAGGCAAACATGGGTAGTAGTAGGTTGTACAGATGAAAATGGTTTACCTGAAAGTTCCCTGCCTCCAAAACCTCGCCTAGGTTCCGGCAGAGCTCCCGCAATCGGTGGGTGGGCTCCCCAGAGAGTCTTGATGTGGACCTACGAGTTGCAATCCCGCCTGCCGCCTTCCCCTCGTAACCAGCAGACTAGACTTAGACTTAGAAAGATAGAGAGAGAAAAGTGTGAGACTCTCAGAAGGGTGCCCTCAGACTCACAAGAGAGGGCCTTGTAATCTTCATGCGCCTTAGGGCCCCGCAATGACAGCCATATAGCAACCGCTTAGTCAACCTGAAGTCAACCCACCGACCTCACTCTCCTGACGAACCCCCACTTCGCAGCATTACTTCCCTTTTCAAAGCCCGAATGACTGCTATCCAGCCTAGACGGCCGCACCCGCATGACCTACACTTATCCTTTCACCTCAACGAAGTAGCGGCACACAACGAACTGTGCCGCAACGCTCAGTGGAAGTACATCAACGCAGCCGTAGCCCAGCGACTGCCACCGCGACACAACAACCTAGGTAGACCGCAGTGTTCACAGCAATTGACAATCAAAAAATACTGCAGCCTTACTGCTTGTTCCTCACTCCTTAGCCTTGGCTGTCCATCTCGTTGCCGTTTCCGATTCGCTGCCTCATTTGCAATTCTGGCCAACCGTGTCCGAACAGAACCCAATGTCAACTCTCCGTAGCATACACAGTGTGAGGCCCGTCAGAGCACCGTAACCATGTGCCACAGCGGGACGCGAAAAAGTGGAGCAAGTGTATGGATGTATACGAACAACAGACCCTGGGTAACACCCAACGAAGTACAGTAACCAGCGGGAGCTCGCACGCAAGCAGACGAAACCCAGGCAGCAGGACCGTGACAGAGGCACAGGCGGGGCAGTCCGCACACCCAACACCGAGCAACGACAATACACCTCCTACTTACACCATGAGTAACCCCGGCCGTTCATCAGTTCCTGCCACCCCTTCTCCCTTTCTTGTTGTTGTTCTGTCTCGCCCGCCATTCCATCCTTTATCTGCGAACGCCCCCGGTTGCTTCTCGGGCCAGGGCGACTCGCCTCCTTAGTACGCGGGGACCTCTATTAGGTGGGGTTTTCCGGGGCAGGGACCAGGACCGGGGAAGCCGCGATCAGCAAGATGAAGACCGCCGTTCGAAAGAGCAGTAGATGGCCTTGAATATAACTTCGAA